GGAACACTGCAAAAGAAAAATGCATTGACCCAAGTCACTTTAGTTTTGTGTATTTCACTGTACATAAATTATATTTCGATAAAATGCATTTTTTTAAAAAAAGACTATATTGGGGGGAAATACATATATATATATTTAACAGAAAAACAGTAGTACTACCTTGTAAGAGACAGGCAAAAAAAACTGATTAAAGCACATGAACATGTACTAAGAATATTATTTTATGTTAATGTTTAGACTGTATGTTAATTGTTTAAATAATCAATGTAAAGAAAAGTTTTGTTATTTTAATGTCACAAATGTAGTTTAGGGAAAAATATTTTGAAAATAGCTTTGTTTTTGTTTAACTTTTTATTGTTAAAACAGAATTAGGTGAAAGTTTACAGAGCAAAATGGTTTTCCATTCAACAATTTATACACATTTTCGTTTTGTTACATTGATTGCAATCCCCACAACGTAACAGCACTCTTCCCACTTCCTCTCTGTATCGATCATTCCTACTTGTCCTTTCCTATCCCTTTCTGCCTTCTGAGTTTTATCCCTGGGCAAATGCTGCCCTTTTGATGTCGTATGGGTGACTGAGAAAACAGTTTCTGAATAGAACTAATTGACAGATCTACAAAAAAAATTTTGCCAGTCAATAAATATTTCAAGAAAGTATATAATTTTAATTATTTTTAAACCACCTTGCCCATTATTGAAGATGTCCTGGTTTAATGATAAATTAAGAAAGCTACTGAACATTTCTGAGCATGAAATCTAATTCTATCATGCCTTTCTTCATTCCTCATTATGACATAATCAGAAGTCAGTGATTACTCTTTGTTGGTTACCAGGGGTGGGAGGGGAGGGGAGGGAATGCTGTTAGATAGATAGTGATAAATATTGATTTGGGTGAAGAGAAGGGCAGTGTACCAAATGGGAGTGACCAATATGGCACCACTGAGGATGAGAAAGACATAGAGAGGTACATGGGAAGTACAGACAACAAATATGAACCCTTTTGCATATACAGTACTGAGTTGTCAGTGAAGGCAAAC